CCCCCAGTCTTGCAGTTGCAACAGTTCACGTTTTGTCTAACATCAGTGTTGTTCAGAATGCCCTTCGCTGTCTATTAGGGTAAGAGAAATTTATTTTCAGAACAGAAATAATTTTAAAAGGTTGTGGGAGAGGCAGAACTGCAAGTTGATCTCACAATTTATCCTGTTTTGTTTTTTCTGAAGCACTATCTGTCAGTTATTAGTCCCAATACTAAAATGAGACTCAAGGAGTGAGCTGTCCAGTTTAAAGAATCTAGGAAACTGTACTGCAAAGGAACCCAAATTTGGCCCATTGAAGGGCCATGCTAGTACAAGGCCCACCAGATCTTGAGCCCAATTTACAAAATAAAATAATTTTACATGGAGTAGTTAAACTCTCTTAGCTGTCCTGGTATGCACATTCCAGCAGGCTGGGTACCAGTTGTTTGGATCCAGAGTTCTTTAATGCTGAACAAATGCGACAGTGAGCTGTGATCTCGAAATCCATGCTGGATGTTCTTTGGGAACTGATGTGCTTCACTCTAATGGTTGACTTCAAAATGTTACATCTATGTTTTAGGCTGCTCTGCATAGAGATTGGGGGGGAATCTCTTGTTTTTTTTGGACAGCATTACATAAACCGCAGGCTCAGGGGCGATCTGATGGCCATCTGTAAGTTTATAAGGGGTATTCCACCAAGATCTGGGGGAACATTTATTCACCAGAGCGTCCCAAGGGAGGACAAGTTCAGACAGTTATGAACGCCTGCAAGACCATTTCAGGCTGGACATAAGGAAGAATTTCTTTACTGTTCGAGCCCCCACGGTCTGGAATAGTCTGCTGCCGGAGGCAGTTCAAACACCTACTTTGAATGCCTTCAGGAGAAACCTGGATGTTTTTCTTGGTTAGGATCCTATGACCCCAGCTGGCTTCCTGCTGCTGGGGCAGGGGGCTGGACTCAATGATCTTTCGAGGTCCCTTCAAGCCCTAATGTCTATGAATCTATAAGCCAGGGGCTTTCTTGATTTCCTCCAAGAATCACTTATTCACCTCTGGATATCAAACTGGAAGGGCCGATAGTCTGAATTTATATGACAACTCCCTCATTCCTCTCTTTGACAGTGTTGTTTGTTGCCAGCTTTTTATAAATATAAAAAGTTTAGGGAAAGTTCCCATTTGACTGCTTCTGATTGTTGATTTTTTTTTTGAAAGTTCTCTGTAAATCTCTGAAATACAAGTTATTCAAAATCTTACAGATTCTTTTCTAATCTGATTGGTTGTCTTGCTAGAAAGGATTTATTCTATAGGAAGGGAATTTATAAAAGGTCTTGGTGGGTGATTTAGTCTTATGAACTATGATCATTGTAGTTATGGATGCTAAGAAGTGTTCAAGTAATTCAGTGTTTCAGCCACAACGGGAAAGAATTGTATGTGCCTAGGCTAAGGGCATGGTTGTAAAACATGCGCTGTGAGCTAGTTGTCTTAGTTTGGGCTTTTGTTTTAGTAATTTAAAGTAAAGGTCTGTTATGAAGGTTTCTCTGTCCTCTGAAGCAGTTAATTGTAAAGTTGTGTGTGTGTCCGTCCATGTTAATAGAACTCGAGGTAAGGGATTATTTTTATCTAACAGTTTGGCCAAGATGTGCAATTTGAACAGAAATACTGAAGTTCTAATCTTCTTCTCTCTGAAGTCCCAAACAAACAGGATAAGTCTCACTTATCGAGAGCCAGTTACTTGTAGAAGCAGAATCATGTTTTTGACAGATCAGTGACTTAATTTGCTACAGTAAATCCTACTTTCCAAAAGAATAATTTTGAAATTTGAAAAATAAAAACTAAACAATTTTTATTTTTGATTTATCTTCTAGATCTTAATATTGGCCTTCTCTGTAATAAGGAAGAAATTCTGGGATTATGGTCGTCTTGCCTTGTTGTCAGAAAATGAAAGGTATAGCGTTGCTGAAAACCATGTGCGGGTTGTGGAAGTAGGAAAGATGAGGAGGTTCCTGTTAGCTTGCTTGCTTGCATGAATAAGTGTGATTGGACTTGCATTCATTTTTCTTTCTTGTTTAAAATTCTCTTCTGACTATGGTGTGTGAAACACTTCCTTGTCTGAAAGTTTTTTCTGCAGTGTCAATAAATAAAGCTCTGTGTTTACACTTGTGATTATGAATCCTTCTCGAATATCATGTGTGGAGGGAAGAAGAAAGGCAATAGGCTGCTTGAATCTGTTAACATAATCTGCCCACTTACTGGTTGCCTACACTTTCTGCAGCAGTAGAATATTAACTGCTGCTGTTGGCTGTCTTCAGGTCAAAGGTCTTCCCAATGTAACAGTTAATACAAGTCGAATTTAGAATTTGTCGAGACTCTGTCCCTGTATGGATCACAAAGGGCCTGATATTTGCCCTAGCAGAAGTCTCTAAGAGTTTTGACATGGTTTTTAATGGAAGCTGGAATGATCCTGTGACTTTTTTTTTAACTGCTTCTGCTTGATGATATTATGGATACTTCAAGAAGAAATATTTTTTGTAAAGTGGGTTGAAGTTTAGTGCTCTTGCATTTACCATAAGCTAATACTATCAGTATCTGTAATGTATCCCAAGCATATGTGAAGAAACAGCTTGTGTGTGTTTATTCTGAGCCTGTCTGCACTTAGTTAGGAAGTGTGATTTGTGATGCACCTGAGCTCACCTGTATGTAGAAAACTTGGCTAACAGCGGGGATGAAGATGGTGTAGCATAGGCTTCCTCGCTGAAGCCTGTGGTACCACATCTTCATTGCATTATGTGAGTGAGTTAGGTTCCATTTAACTTGCACATATATTTATGCATGCTGCAGTTAAATCTTCTGAATGCAGTGTTGACATACCCACTTGCTAGGCTGTTTAGAAATGGGAGGAAACCACTTTACTTCCCAACAAGTGGAAACGGCTACTTCCCTAGTTTACAGTGGATGAAAGATTCACTAAAAGTTCTTCACTGTGCTACAGAAGCAGAAAAATGAGACTTAAGGCAGTTCTCCTAAGGGTACAGGGTAAATCTGGACTGAGGCAGAAACTGCAGAAATGTGGAAGGGGAAGATGTAGAAAGATGATATTTTATATAATGTTGCAAATCTGAACAGGAATGAAGCCTGCAGACCCTATCTTATTAGGCACCATATTAGTGATCCACTTCCTTCAAATTCTGTGTCATTACTGTGTCACCACTGCACCCTCCTGTTACTTCAGGATCTTCTCCTTTCTCACTTTGAGTGCTGAATGGATGTCTTAAAATAAAATTCTCTATGATTCAGTCTGAAAGTGCAAACTAGTGACTCTAATTTTTCTCTTGTTTTTATTTTGTTTCCATACCAACCCACTTCAGAATTGTTAAAACTTGGTTCATCAGACATGGAGGAGCTTCTCCATTTCTACAAATAATTTAAATGTGTCTTTTTGCAATTTTAGTGAGTCAAGACACTGCAGGATGTCATCATCCTCATCAGCAATGGATGACCTTGAATATGACAGGGTCAGTATTTGAATTAGACCCATAAAATAAAATGGTAGTATGTGTGTGAAGTAGGTAGATCTGGTGGAATCTGCCATTGTTCTACACTTGGTGTATATAAATAGGTTGTGCATGGTGGGGCATCTATGCACTTCCAGTGTGAGAAATGCTAACATATGACGTGTGTATATTTATTCTGGAACCTTAGACTTCTTGGCTTCTTTTTTCTAGCCCTTGATAAATAGTGTTATGCTATAATAATTTACCACTGTTGTGTCATTTTTTACAATAGAAGATTTTCCCCACAAAATTTGGGAAGAAGGGAACAAAGGCTTAATAGTCTTTGTAAAAGTGTAACATCAATGTGTGCTTTGCCCTTTGTAGAGAACTTTTTGTGTACAAAGTTCTCCTTTACAAGTATTGCAAAGCTAACTTTCACAACACACTTGTATGGGTAGGTAGTATTTATTAAGGCATCAGGGATAGACAGTCTTCCAGCTAAATGCCTGAAATTTTGCATTCAAAGCATTAAAATGCCATCTTCACAAGATGATTGAAAAGATCTGGAGAGAAGAAAGTATGCCCAAACAGTAGAAGCAGACAATAATAATAAGAAGAGTAACTGAAGAGTGTGTAATAACTATCAGGGTATCACACAACATACAGAGCTTTGCACAACATACAGAGCTTTTTCTCAAGTGCTGATGGCTCACATATGCAAAAAAAAAAAATAAAAAATTGAGAGCTTACCAGTGTGAGTTCAGGAAAGAGATCAACTTGTGATCAAGTATTTTCAACAAAGCTGTTGCTGGAAAAGAAATGGGAAGTTACAAAAGATGTCAAAGCTTATGATAGTGTAAGAAGAAAGTCACCATGGTCAATTATGGTGGAGTTTTTAATTCCCCCCCGAAATGGTATGGTGTATTAAGGTGTGCATTGAAGTATCAGTGAGTTCCATGAGAACTGAGGGAAAGCTATTGGACCCAATGGAAATCAATAGCAGGCTCAAACAAGAGGACTAGAGGTGCATGGATATTGGTTGCCTATTGGATCAGCACTGTTGAAAAAGAAAATTAACATTATCAGCTTTTTTTGGCCAGTGTAGCCAATAATGTCACTGATAAATACAATATGCCTTCTGGCTGGGGTCCTGCTGGTAAGTCTGGGAAGGGGAAGAGGTGGGGGGGGGAACAGATTGAGGTCCCCGCGATGAGGGAGAAAGTGCAGTAGGGACTGGGGCTTGGGGGCGCATGTCCAGCCAGGGCAGTGAATGGGACCTGGGGCAGGGAACAGGATGGAGCTGTTGGTGGCTCACCCAGGGGGTGTCGGGAGGGGGGATGGCTCCCTGCTGCTGTGTACACTCCTGGGGGGAGGTATGGGGGGCCATGTGCCCCACAGATTTGTGCATGGGGTAGATGTGGGCTGCTTGCTGTGGGCTTGGGGCTCTCCATTCTATTGCCTTTCCCTTGCCTTTAAGTTATTTGCATGCTGGCTGCATGTCCCCTGCCCACCTGGCAGTGGTGGGGGTGGCGAGTTGCGCCTCCTGCAGGGCTGGTGTAGGGCTCTTGAGGAAAAGGCAGCAGAGCAGAGAGCCCTGAGCCTGCAGCAGGCAGCCCACATCTGCCCTCACCCTAGTTGGCTCTGCTGTGGTTAAAAGCATCCTTGCACTTAAAAATGGTGGCAGCGGCACTTAAAGCTCATCAAATGAACTTTAGTTCAGTCAAGTGTCACTGCCATTGTTTTTAAGCACTGGGATACTGATCCCCTGGACGAGCTGTGCACAGCTGTATCCCACTCCTTGCCTTGGCCCTGGGTGCTATTCACCACCCTGGCTGGGCAGTGTCCCCAGCCCCTGCCGCACTCTCTCCCTCACCGTGAGAGCCTCAATTTGCCCCCTTCACCCATGTTGCTTCCCCTGCACAGACTTACCTGCAGGGAGCTGCTCTCCACACTGCCTGGCTGCATTCCTTTAAATTGGTTATCAGATTGGTATCGGACAATATGGCTGGTTAATAATCAGCTATCACTGTCAGCCAAGAAAATCTTTATCGGTGCACCCCTAAAGAGGATGCACTGTCATCAGTGCTTTTCATCTTGATACCTGAGAAGGTCATAAGAGAAAAATAAAAAGGTCTGCACCAGGTATTTGCTTATGCAAATTGCATCTGCCTAGTAGGAGAGAAAATAGAAATGGTACAAAAGAATACAGAGATCATAGCATGAAACACCAAAGGAGTTGGGCTTGCTGTCAGTGTCAGCAAGACTAAATACCTGATCACATCCAGAAATAAATCTCAAAATCAAAGGAAGATAAGGATAGAGAATAACAAGATGGAAAACAGAGACATTTAAATATTTAGAAACAATGATCACTGAGGGCAATCAAAAGACTGAAGAAATGAAGGCAAAAATTTAGTTCTAATTATATGCATGTTGACCCTAGCTGCAAGGAGAATCTCAAGAGACCTTAAAATCCAACTTTATAGTACAGTTGTTCAACCTTTTCTATATAGATGTGAATCCTGGATACTGATGAAGGCAAATGGAAAAAAGGCTGCAAGTGTTTAAAAGCAAGATGCTAAAGAAAATGTATGGTATAGTACAAAAGAACAGTATGAAGGAGGAGAACTTGATGTCTTGAGCAAGATAAGAGTGCAGAGACTAAAATGGGCAGGGTGTATCATGAGACCTGATGAAAGAAGGCATGTGAGGCAGATTTTGGAAGCTAAGGTGGTGGGTATCACACCTTGAATAGACCAAGGCAATGATGGGATTATGACATAAAAAACTCACCTGGAAGGAATAAGTGAAGATGTGACAAGGTAGAAGGAGATTGCACAAGATAGGATGGAATGGAAGGCTGTTTAGAAATGGGAGGGAACTTTGAAGGGTGTTTTTAAAAAAATCATGTTTTCAGTTCAGAAACTCTTAGACTACTGAAATTAAGTGTATACATTTATCTTAGTTGTTTAATTCCTTGAATATTCAACATCTGTGCTTCTCAGTATTGGCAAATTGTAAATCATTATATATAAAGTGACATTTTTAGGTGCTGGATGTGTTCTCTGTATATGTATAGAACATAAATGGGATATGGAACTCTGATATTATCTAGACTGAACTGACAGCTGTTTTTGTTTACATGTTGAGAATGAGTTTTAATGGAAAAAGTCCTTAATTGGAAAAATTAGACATCAATATCTCTTTGAAGCAATTCATGTTCAGAATCTAACATGCTTCACCTCTTATTTATAGGGGTTTTGTTCTTGGATGATGGCTGCCTTTCGAATGCGGTAAGTACAGGAAATAGTAGTAAGCCAGGGTTTACTTTTCCTGATGTTTTTCAAAGACAGGAAGTGATAGACTTTATTGAGACATAGTACCAAGAGAGGTAGAATTAGCAGTATGGGAGGCCAAATGAGCTCTAGATGAATGTTTAACTGGTGACCCATGGGTTGGGAGTGAAACTAAGATCTGCATGTTGTCATTTTCCTCCTCAGCCTCCTGTTGTGGAAATCCTGTCCCTAAGTGACATCTAGGTTTGACACAAGTTGGTAAAATTGTCATGAAAACTTAGCCCAGAGGCAAAGCATATTCACTCAACTGGTTTCAGGCTAATAACGAGAAAATGTCTGTTACATTCCCTCATCATTTATTACCTGTCCAGAAAAGTAGACATTTGCTCAACTTGTTAGTTCTTTGAATATTTTTTTCCCCACATGTGGCTGTAAGAAGGCATTTGAAACAACACCCCTCATCTCTTTTGCTGGCGCACAACATTTTTTGGAGTACCCTATGTCTTTTGCAGCATAGTCAACTGATGCTTTTTGTAGTGTGAATTTTGCTCTAGAGGCATATTTGGATTTGAAAATTTCCCCCCCAGTTAGCAAACCTGTATTAATGTCAGCAGAAAAAAAAATCCTTTTAATATTTAAATGCTACGCTGGTGTGTGTGTGTGTGTGTGTGTATAAAAAAAAAAAAAAGGGGGGGGGGGACCCCTCGCATTTTCTTTTTCCATTCAAGAGAGGGGG